GGTGCAGCCGCTGGCAGGAGGCCGGGCCCTGTGCCGCCACGTTGCACAGAACTGTCAGGACCTGGGCGTGAGGGGAGAGCAGGGCACGCTTCGTCAGTGGGTAGTGTCCCAATGGACTTAGGAGGGCTCCAAAGAACCCCTCATGTCCCCTCTGGAGGTCAGAATCGTGGAATCATTTAGGCTGGAAAAGACCTTTAAGATAGTGGAGTCCAACTGTTTGGAATCATTTAGGCTGGAAAAGACCTTTAAGATAGTGGAGTCCAGCTGTTCCCCAGCACTGCCAGGGTACCACATCATATCCCTCAGCACCACATCTCCACAGCTTGGAAACCCCTCCAGGGATGGGGGCTCCATCACTGCCCTGAGCAGCCAGGGACAGGCCTGGACAACCCTTTCAGGGAAGACATTTTTCCTACTGTCCAACCTAAACCTCCCTGGGGCAACTTGAGGCCATTCCTCTTGTCCTGTGAGGTCCCGCCAAGTATTTCCCCAAAGCCATGTGCCCACCAAACAAGTGGGTTTTGAATGTTCCTTAAAACCTTCTCCATCTCCACCCCAGGACCCTGATCATCCCTGTACCAAGCACCTGCAGCCATTCCACCCACTCCTGGCAGAGCATCTTCCAGGACTCATCCCCAGACTCCTTACAGGTGAGGTTGGACAGGGCTCTGAGCAACCTGCGCTAGTTGCAGATGTCCCTGCTCAGTGCAGGGGGTTGGATCAGACAACCTTTGAAGGTCCCTTCCCACCCAAACGGTCTCTGGTTCTGTGACCCCCTAAAGTTTTGGGGTGTTCCAAAAGAAGGTGGCAGGAGTCTCTCCAGGCCCCCTCCAGGTGCTGGCAGGCCTGGTGTCAAGTTAACATCTGCCTTGGGACCTCCCTTCTGCTGGGACAAGACTCTGTCAAGGGTAGACACAGACGCTGTGACTTCAGAGGAGGCAGCTGGTGACTACCACAACGTAAGACCAAGCTGTGGCTGCCGCCCCAAGCCACCATGAGCATCGTGCATGCAGGATTAACGTCCCTGAAAGCCCAGCACCGACCTGGGCCACCAGGGGAGGTCTTACCAACACCCCGGCCGTCTGGGAACAGGGCAGGAGCTGCAGCAGGGCCGGCAGCAAGTCCAGGGAGAGCAGAGCGGAGCAGAAGAAGGGCTCAGCTGCTGTTGTGGGCAGAGAAGGAACGTGTCAGTGAAATGGAGGTCCCTGAGGGAGGTCTCACCA